TTCAGCAAAGTGGCTGGTTATAAAATCAACTCAAACAAATCAGTAGCCTTCCTCTACATGAAAGATAAACAGACTGAAAAAGAAATTAGGGAAATGACACCCTTCACAATAGTTGCAAATAATATGAAATACCTTGGTGTGAATCTAACCAAGCAAGTGAAAGACCTGTACGACAAGAACTTCAAGTCCCTGAAGAAAGAAAATGAAGAAGATCTCAGAAGATGGAAAGATCTCCCATGCTCATGGATTGGCAGGATTAATATAATAAAAATGGCCATCTTGCCAAAAGCAATCTACAGATTCAATGCAATCCCCATTAAAATCCCAACTCAATTCTTTACAGAGTTAGAAAAGGAAATTCTCAAATTCAGGAAAATCTTGAAAGTCAGCTAGGTTATGTAACAGTTTAACAAGCTGAACAAGGCAAGGGACTATAAAAAAGGAAAACGAAATCAACATCTTTACAGGATTTAACTAGAAAAAGACAACAATATGGAAACAGCATTTTCTAAAAGTCTGTCTATTCATATTTAAAATATGAATATTTCTTACTGTTTTTTTTTTTTGAGGGAGCGGCTGTAAATTAAGCACAGAGCTTCATGCATGTGAGGCAATCACTGTGCCCCTACATCGTCCTGTTAGGGCTTCATTAGCTTTTCTAAATGGCAAACTTAGGATCTGACAATCTGACAATGTATTCATTTTCCCAGGGCAGGTTGGCTAGACATTCTAGGATTGGAGTCACAGCAGATATGAAAGCTAACAATGGAAGATTTAATAGAATATTAATTTCTCTCAAGAGAAAACAATAAAATTTAAATAAACAATTTAAACAGCCAGAAAAAAAGGAAACAGTTCTCCCTCATACAGTGACAAATATCTGGCCTCAACTATACATAGATCAAATACAAACTGATTGGGAAAAAATATAAATCAGACCAAGACGGAGGCTGGGCTATTCCCCTTGTTTCAAGAAGGTGAGCACACACTATACATGACAAAGTGGTTCTTGCTGTTTACAGAGGCTGTTCAATACTGGATAACGTGGACTGTTGAGACAATGTACACTGGCACTTCATATCCCTCTTAAAGTGCCCACTGGGATGCTGCAGACTTCTGCATCAGGGCTTGCTCTTTGAACACCAGGCATACACCTGATATAGTACTAACGTGAGCCCGTGAACTCAACACATTGATTTTATAGTCCTGTTCATGAGATTGGACATTTCATTAACCTGGAAGTCATTTTCCTGTCCATGCCCTCAATCTTCGTCCCTCACTCCTGTGCGGATGTCAGACTGCGCACCAAGCTCACGCACACCTTTACTCTACTACGGTTTCTACATTATTGTTTCTCCTTTTATTTTTGTTTCATCAGAATTGCATATAAGTGAACAGAAAACTGTCTAAAGTGATTCTTTAAGTAAATTTTGATGACTTTTTAGACCTCTGTTTGTCTAAAGGTAAAAGATTAGGACAAAGCTCATTACATACCATAATCAGTGATTTTACAGGACACCAAGTACAGCTCTTTCAGGTTCTGTCCCTCCTTTGCAATGACCTCCACACACCTGAAACACACAAAGGGGTGGTGTTACACTAATGCATCTCAGGTAAATTAGCAAGTGTTGGACCATGCATCCTCAAGAATAGTCAGCATTTTATGAACGTCCTAGCCCTCTGCCCTCAATGCCCCTCACTGGAGGTGCTTCCCCAAGTCCTATGGTCTCTGCTTTCAGGTTGAATGCACTAATTCTTAAATGACTTCATTACGTCTTTTCAAACCCAAGAGACAGGAGGAAGATATCCTTTAAGACCACTTGGCATTTGGGTGGTAAGCCCAATGTGGTATAGTGAATTCATCACTTATATAAAAGGATGTAATATAATAAACCAAAAGTGTAGTATACAGGTGGATAGTTATTTCAAAGGAATGATAATTATTCAGAGTTCAATTTTAATTCTGAATATTAAGTGCACATCTGAAGAAACTTCACTCGACAAACAATCTGAAGTTGTAAAACCATATAACTGATAAAAGACATAAAAGTTGAACATACAAGAATGATAAAACTTTCACTTTAAAAATGGCTCATTTTTCAGGGTCATAAATATGGATCTACTTGAACTTTCTGCATGCAAACATCCACTTAGACCAGCACCATTTGTTGATGATACTTTCTTTTTTGATTATGTAGTTTTGGACAAAACTGGCTTCTTTGTCAAAAATCAAGCTTCCATCTATGTATGGGTTTATTTCTGGGTTTTTGATTCTATTCCACTGAACAACTTGTCATGGTATTTATACCAATACCATGTAGTTTTTATTACTATAGCTCTGTAGTACAGCTTGAAATCAGGGATAATGTTACCTCCAGAAGTTCTTAAATTGTACCGGATATCTTTAGCTATCTTGGGAGTTTTTTTATTTTCCATATGAGGCCGATAGGGGCTGACAGAGACTGAACCACCAACCAAAGTACATGCATAGGATGGATGGATGCCTTGTGCAGCTTGGTCTTTATGTGGGACCCCTAAGAGCTAGAGCAGGAGCTGTAACTGACTCTGTAATCTGCCTTTGGACCCCTTTCCCCTAAGTGGTCTTGTCTAGACTCAATAGGAGTCTAGTGTATACCTGACGAAGGACATAAAACCTAGTTCTACTGTTATATGATATGTTAAGGCTGGCTGATATCCATGGGAGGTCTCCTCTTCTCTGAGAAGAAAAGAGGTTGGATGGGGGAGGGGAGAAGAGAGGAGATGGAGGAATTGAGAGGATAGGAGGAAGAAAGAAAAAATAAACTAATAACATTTTAAAAGGAAAAGGATTTATTTTTAATATTTTAAATGAATTGCAATATAGAGTAATTATACACAGTTATATAACATTTTTAGCTCTTCTTTGATTTTCATTCATACTAAAATATTTTTCAGGATACCCTTAGCAGAACTCTAGTAGAGAATTCAGTGAATTTTAAAAACAATGACTAGCCTCACTACCTATTCCATAGTTCAGTTTGCTATAATATCAGCAACCTGGACTGCAAGACACACAGGCATGGGTGCCCTTCAATGCTACCCCTGTTTAATCTGTATAGATAGCAGTTAAGCAAAAGGGTAAAAAGCAAAAAGAGTCATTAACCTTTTCTAGGAAGTAAGGTTCAAGCAATTTGATACCTGTGTATATAATCCATCAAATCTCATTTGGCATCCATCTCTGTCTTCAGATATTTCATTTGCTGCCTGGCTTACTTGCAAGTAGCTTCATAAAATGTCAGGAATTTTATATAATTTTATCTCATATAATTTATTATTGAAGGTTAAATTAGTTAAGAAAGACATATTTTTCTTTTAAAGTACTTTTATAGAATTCTGTCCTAATGGAATGATTAACAGTTCATGTTTCCTAGGGCAGTCAGGTAAACATTCTTCTTTGGCTATTTCATATAAAAAGATTTATGATTAAAACAGGCATTTTTTTTTGTAACTACAATAAAAATCTTGAAAGAGTAACATAATACCACTGTGACTGACACGGATTATTGTGAAGGGAAACATTAACACCTAACTTCATATCATTTGGCTTTAATGTAACATTTTAATAAATTCACAAGAAAGAAATGCTAAAAGAAGAAATCAGCTTCTAAATGCTAAAAGAAGAAACAGCTCAAACAAAGCCCAAATATTATGTATGACTTAAAATTAATTTTCTAGTGCTAAGATTAGAAAAATAAAAGCGATACATAACATAATCCTAATGATTTAAAATTTCCTAAACACTTACTTTCTGTAATAGTGAAGATCCATATTTTACCCTCCTTATTGAATTAGAAAAGCTAATCCAATATGTTGTGGCGATAACAGGAAAAAAGCAAAGCAGTAATTATACTTTATTCCCATGCTGTCAGGGGCAGCCCTGCTTATACACTGAAGGCCTAAAATCAGCCATAGGCCTAAAATCAGCAATAGGCCTGACATACATGCCTGCTAGCACAAAGTCTTGAGTCTCTGTGGAAAAACACTGAAACAGATAAGATATTGTAAATACGGAGCTTTGGTGGAAAACTGCCAGGCTGAATAGTCACAGACCTTGTAGATAGGTAACCTTGGTGGATAGTACCAACTTAGATAAGGACAAATCAATCATAGGAGGAGTCATAGTGGTCTGTCCCCTGAACCTTCACCCAGCTGACACTCTGTTCTGGAAGATATCTGTACTCCCCCTGAACACCTACGCTCCTGCATCATCCCCTTCCCCACATCCTGCCTTTTTGTGTATATAACCCCTTGTGAAAAAGTAAAAATTATGATTTGATCAGACTATAGACAAATCGTGGTTCTTTGCGTCTTTGCCTGCCCAATCCTCCCCCCCCCCAGCCCACTTTCTTTCAGGTGACTTCCCCTGACCTGTTTAATGCCCTGCTGGACAGGACATCATGCTTCATACAAACAGTTAAAAATGCCAGACCTCATATTTGATGGTGAAAGATACTAAGCAAATGCATCCTCCCACTATCCGGTTTTCTCCAATCTATTACTAGACGTGGCACAAGACCACACAAACATTACAAATTCACACAGAGGGCTGCAGGGAGCAGATAACAGAAAGAATGCTACCATACCAGACAATCAGACATTGTTTCACAGCAGAAAATCAGAATGTGTATAAAGTAAGACATGCCCCCAAGTCACTGAGCATTAAGGTTTACCCCCAGATGACAGAGAGATAGACAGGATATATGGATGATTATGAGTAGATAGTGCAAAATTAGAAAGTTTGCTCAAGAGCCAGTAGCCTGCTCCCAGGTACTGCATGACTTTAACCTTTCATATTAGATCATGAGAGGAACATGGAAGTCAAGGTTCCGTAAGTGAAGGGTCACCTGTTCTTAAAGGTTCAGTCATGTGAGTTTCCAAATATATGTCTATATTTATATAAATACACATATCTAATATATTTATGTAACATTAATATATTATCATATAAATATATGTGCATAAAATCAAATGACACATAGTAAATATTATAGAAATTTGTATGATAGGCACTTATGAAAAACTTAACAACAAAAGGTAAAGATGTTTTCAAAGGACTATCTTGTTAATCCTGAGCAGTGTGACAAAGTGACATTTAGAAGCTCCACTTCTCCATTCCTGTCCCTATTCATATATATCACACAAGAAAATGCTCTGTCCACCACGGTAGGTAAATTACATCAGTACAGAGGCAGGGCATGAGCACCTACAATCACAATCAGGAATTTAAAAGATTCCCGCTTCTTCTACATTCTGCCCCCATCATTCCAAAGGATGAACCTCCAAATAGTATTTAAAAGCATTGTACATAGATCCAGGAATTCTCACGAAAATATAGGAATTAAAAGGGGGGGTGGGATTATGAATTCTTAGGGGAAGTAGTAGTATTAAAAAGGGTAAATGAATGACATGGAAAATGTCAAAAGGTATCAGTCACTGTTGAAGTGCCCGTGTACACCATACCCATCAGGGCTAGGCAGAGCTCCTGAGCTTTGGACAGCACAGGGAGGCATATCCTTAACAAAGGGAAAGAAAAACTCAGTCCCCAGCCTCACCTGTAAAGAACCAAAGAACAGGCCTTGACCTTGACTGGAGGGCCTGTATCATTTGCTTCAAAAGTATGGCTTCCTGTAAACATGTTCCTCCAGATCAAGTGTCTCATGTCCATTTAGATATTCTTTAGTTTATTCGGAATTGTCTGCCCTCAAATTATTTTCTTGCTTTTAAGCTTTGGCAGGGGTGTGAAGAAAAAAGAATTGAAGTCTTACTATTGTAAATTACTAAGTAACAGCTGTTGAGAATGATATATATATTTTTTTTCTCTCTCTCTTTTAGAAATGGAGAAAAGTGCCAGAAAACCTGCTCTAACATAGTTAAAGCATCCAAAACCATTTTCGATAATTTTATACTCACTTGCTTTTGAGAATGTTCTAAAATACACCTGAAGCATTTTGTAAAATTTTAAAACTGAAAGGTTATTTTGTTAGCTATGTAAGGTGTTTTCTTTCTTTTTTTTTTTTAAAGAAAAGAAAGCATTTCTCAGTTTCAAAGAAAGAAAAAAGTCTCTCTTCTTAGAAATAGATTCCTAATCATCTGATTTATAAGAAGGTTAAAGGTTAATGAATTAAGCTGTGTAAGCTTCAGAATTATCAAAGGAATTCAAAAGAGCCTTGAATTGTGGAAAACAATGACCCATTCTACATACCACAGAGCTGTTATGTTTTTGTCTCCTTCTCAGAAGCCAGAGCATGGCATTAGTGACAATGAAAGGAACTAATGAGGAAATATGACTGCACTGTTTGTAGGAGGAGTGTCTTGGGAGACCTTGTTACTGTGTGTGATGGGCTTCAAACCAGAGAGAAGCTAATTGGAGCTGCCAGATACTGGTGTGCAAATCTTACTTTAAAGGACAGGCTCAATCACCTTCGAGGTTTGAAAAGAAATATCCCCATTAGAGATACAAGGTTTGGTGGAGTTCTAAGGACACTTTGGGATGGTCTCTCCCAAGCCACAATCCTATTTGAATAGCAGACAT